CCAAAAATGTTGGAGGTCCTTGAAAAGGGTGGTTCAGGGGGTGATTTGAAACAACTTTTTCCTTAGCGAAATTGTTGTCCGAGGCTTCGTTGAGGAGATATTAACGGAAAACACTGACCAATCAGAGCGCGCGTATACTGTTGGAGCGGCCGCGATAGCGATGGGTACACGCTAGGTAGCCGCTCTCATACGCGAACAAGTGACTCGACGTGCATCGAAGAATATTGACGCGGTCGCTCAGCGCGTAGCCTTCGCTACCGCGGCCGCTCCGACGGCATCCGCGCGCTCTGATTGGTCAGGGTTTTCGCTTAATATCTACTTAACGAAGCCCCATCCGACATTTTTGTAAAGGAAAAAGTTGTTTCAAATCACCTCCCGAACCGCCCCTTTCAAGGACCTCCAACATTTTTGGGACACCCTGTATATATTTTTTCTAAATTGTTGATTGCACTGACATTTACAAGATTTGTGGAACATTGAAGATATTTGTTAAAACATGCGTTCGAAGATTTTTAGTAGACATTAATGAAACTTTTGGCGCGTTCTTGCGAGTATTGCCCAGGGGATGGCAGTTGGTCCTCAGCGCCCCCCAAATTTGTCTTCGAACAAAAGCGCCCCAAACATGTCGAATTGAGTAACCTCCTCCTTTTCGAAGTCGGTTAAATAGAAATTAATTTTTGAAAAGTCGTGTGCCAGGTTCACATAGCTGAAAAGGAAATCAGCCAAATCATACAACGTGTCACGCATCAAGTTTTGGGTGGTAGACAGGAATTAAAAAACTATTTACATCTTAATTTGAATGTTTGCACAGATGCATGATAATTTATGAGGCATTAAAGGATAAAGGTCATATCAACTTCTTCAATGGTTTATCAAAAATTTATGACATTATTTTCTCAAGTTAATCGAGGATATATATTAGATAAGATACTGTAACAATGAAATCATATTTACAGCTATGCTATAAAATCCTGTAAATTTTGTACATAACTTTGTGGAATACTTTGTTCAAAAATTGTTCTTCTTGGAAGAAATGAAAGTTGATCGATGAGTTACTGTTTACACTTAAATAATAATTCGTTCCGAGTAAATAAACAGATTATGTGCCCTGGGAAAGATGCCTAATAAACAGTCTCACGTACACTCCGTTCAAATCTGTAGATAAACGGTACAAGAAAAACAGCGTGAAACATGAAAATTATTCCTATCCATTAATATTATTTGTTTCAAGAATAATGTTGAACTATGCTTCACGATATACTATTATAGTTTTTCTGGAAATTTAATGTATCGATTTGCCTGGATCGAACAACTTTTATGGATTATGGTTAGACTATGGATGTTTATGCATTTATGGCAAATAGAGTTATAGGAAGATCTATGAAACACGTACACAAATGTAATAATTAGACTGCGGATCTCTATGCAAAATAAAATCTTTGCGAACGTGCCTACTAAAATTGAACCTACAGTGGGTGTAGAAAGTATTCGTACACCGATCAATTTCCAAAAAAACTGTATAAAATTGTAATTTATTAACTTATTTTTTATAAACAATGACAGTCTACATATTCTCGGAAATGTCTAAAATAGATAGATTAAAAAAAAAAATAGCTAGTTATGTAAGTTGCGTAATTAACAAGAAAAAAACAATTAATCGATAGAAATGTTGAAGCAATAAGTATTCGCACAACTGTTTAATTTTTAATACTTGATTAAAAAAAAAAGAAATTTACATTAATTTATAAGTATATAATACTTCCTTCGTGGGATTTACATTTGATTTTATAATTATTGCATCTCTTCTAAGCGTTAAATTAACTAAATTATTAGTTATTCGAAGTGGGATCTCTCTCCATTCCTCTATTAGAGCCTTTTTTTAAAAGTACTTTCCTGGAAATTTGATATTTTCTAATTCGTACGGAGCAATAAACTAATGTGTTTACGTTACAAACTCTACTGTGAATGATTCGTCATAAGAATCGTACAAATACTTATTGTTTCTATACTTTTACCCACTTTTCGCATTTTTTTGTTAATTTCGCAAAATATATAAACTAGTAAATGTGGTTTGGATTATATCTATCTTAGAGACTTCCAAGAATATGTAAAATATCATTGATTACAAAAAATTAAGTTAAGAAACTACAATTTTACACAAATATTTTTTGGGAAATTGATCGGTGTACGAATACATTCTACACCCACTGTATATAGGAATTTATTTTATTCTGAAAATATTATAACATGAACTTTACTTTCAATCTTTCAATCATGTCTAAACCAGGCCCACTCGTTATTTGGCAAGTTATGAAAATCGAATACTTTATAATAATTATATGCTAGTTGGACTCATTTATGTACGACACCATTAATTACGTTCGTTTTTCGTTTAAAAAGTTACAGGTATGGGGTATATTGAAATTAATGGTCGGTAATGTACACAAAAGAAAAATATATATAGAACTACTGTGAAAAATCAAAAGCCACTTACGATTCATTACACCTTTCACATTTTTAAGCTAAAAAAGTACTTTTGATTTAGCTTATATATTTTATTTCACCAACATTATTGTACAGTGTACTGTCTGAAATTATATAAAAATAGTATAAATTCAAAGGAGAATTTAATATTCAGTACCCCTTTTACCTTTGTACCAGCGTTGATTGTTCTCGAGCGCATGTATGTATAAATTATATGTACTTCATAAATTCATAATGAACAATACAACTGAATCGTCATCAATAATAGCAGAAGCATATTCGAGCAACTTATTTATACAACCAATCATTTGATAACTTCCTTATTGTTTATTAATATACAAAGTGTTATGCCTAAACTAGACCGCTTGAATATCTGTTCGAAAACCAGAACAGCTAAAAAAAATCGGTTTTTGGTTTTTCCAACTACGGCGCACCATACCCAAAATTATGAAAAAACATTGAGGATAATAATAACAATAATACACACTTCCTGTAATTATATAATCGTAGTTCTGAGATCCCTTTGATGCAAAATCTGCATTTTTCATCATTTTTTGTGTTTTTTATTTTACACAGCTTGAATTTTGAATTGAAACATCTGAAAAAATTCTGAAACATGTAATTCACTAACTGAAATATCTCTGATTTTTTCAAAAATTTGTCCTGCAACAGGACGAGAGAAATTGGTCAAAAACGTGATTTTTGTTTTTCTTGTTTACTCTTCTATCAGTCGAGATAGGGACTTGAAACTTGAACCAGATTAGTCTTTTTTGATATCCTATCGAATATATCATTGGAAATCGAAATCGGTCTAAGGGCACTGTTGTTAAGGTTAAGGGCATTGTTGTTCTAAAAGGGGTACTGAATATTAAATTCTCGTTTGAATTTATACTATTTTTATATAATTTCAGATAGTACACTATACAATAATATTGGTGAAATAAAATATATAAGCTAAATCAAAAGTACTTCTTTTTTTAGCTTTAAAAATGTGAAAGGTGTAATGAATCGTAAGTGGCCTTTGATTTTTCACAGTAGCTCTCTATATATTTTTCTTTTGTGTACATTACGGGCCATTAACTTCAATAGACCCCATACCTGCAACTTTTTCAACGGAAGACGAACGTAATTAATGGTGTCGTACATTTCGAGGGTACCATCACCTATGGTCTGAACTAGAATTATACCGATAGCTTGAATATTTTGGCCCTGCTCTCATATTTTACTTGACAATTTTCCGGAAAAATTAAACCTTAATTTTTAAACAGCTGCGATTCCGATAAAAAATTTAGTACTTACTTAATTCTAGTTCAGGCGATAACTACATTCATATAGATTGAAGAAAAAAAATCGTTTCTCTGTCTCAGACGACTAGAACCCCCACAGCCTGTGCGCCCGATTGAACGAGCGTCTCACGCCACAACCTGCATAACAGCGCATAACTTGTATAGATTTCAATCAAGTATTTCATAAAAATTTGTGTTTTTAGTTGAAATGTGTTTTATTATGCATAAAGACCCTGGTACTGTAGGTTTGATAGTTTTCGCAAAATTAATTCTTAAAAATTGCTGACAAAACAAACTTCTAGACGATAATACCCCCTTAATGAATTCGAATATGATTACTTCACTTCAATAAATACAAATTTCTCTCAAAATACCTTCCTAGTTCTGTTCCTCCTTGAAATAAGTACAAACACGACGGTGTATTGAAATTAATGGCTGGTAGTGTATTTTACATTTGTTGTACTTTCACATTCGATTTATCTGAATCATATCGGACTTAGTGGAATATTTAGTACTTATTTTGTACTAATTTGTACCACCAACAATAATTTTGTACAATACCTCGTGCCGTTTTCGAAAAAAATCGTGGCGCTGCTAGCTTAATATTAATATTACGATTTTCTTGAAAATGGTAACAGGTAAAAAATTTCTTTTGGTGCTACAAATTAGTACAAATTTAGTACTAAATGTATCCGCTTTGGTTTTTTCATTTATATTAATTTTGAATATTTTCAGCCACTAGCTTAACGTTAAATTAGCAGCGCCACGATCTTTTCGAATACGGTACGAGGTACAAAATTTCCTTTGGTAGGACAAATTAGTACAAATTCAGTACTAAATGTATCAGCTTTGATTTTTTCATTTATATTAACTTTGAACATTTTCATCCGCTAGCTTAATATTAAATTAGCAGCACCACAATTTTTTCGAATACGGTACGAGGTACAAAATTACTCTTTGTGGTACAAATTAGTACAAAATAAGTACTAAATATTCCACTAAGTCCGATATGATTCAGCTGATTTGGTCCTGCCAGCTTAAGAGAGGTTTCGATTTATATCCATAGAGTAAAAAAATCGTGGTGAGACATCCCCCGCGTGAACCAAAGAATCTTTACGAGAAATCCGTAATATGACACGTGACCTTTGAATGGGAAAAGGTTTCAGCCCAACCTTATGGGATAATCCGACAGTATTATTCGTCGACGCGTGCGTTTATCTACGTACTTACCCTCCGTGACGTTGTACGCCCCGTAGAGAGAGGGGTAGCGTGGCTCGAACTCGTAACCTTCCTCGGTTGAAGCGACGTAAAGGCTCGCCAGGAGACCGGCCGGCAACAGCAACAACACCAGGCTCGGCCGTCGGCAAACGCACTCGACGAAACGCGAACGTTTCTTCGTTTTTCGCATGATCGAATCGTCGCCGATATCACGTTCCTCGTCGCACCTGACGAGCACCCGCACCACTCGACTATTGCTGTCCACGTTTCACGTGCGCGATACCATTCCGTCGCGAGCGTGTCCCTCTCCCCGCGGTGCCGTCGCGACGCGAGCTTATTCCTCTCCCCACGATGCCGCCTCGACGCGACCGCGGCGTTCGCGGTCAGCCAGGACATCGAGCGACTTCTCTGTTCGCCTATCGAGCGTGGGCGAACCAGAGATGGCCAAAATTCTTATCTAGATGAACTTTTCCCACCACCGATAAAAGATACGCGACCTTTTATCAGATATCCGTCACCACTATCTCCCCTCGATTTCAGTTTCACGCATTTCAGAATTATTTCTCTGTATTATTCGTGTACCTGAGAATTATTTGATTTCCGAATTCAGAATTTGGGAACGACAAGTATCCGTGGAAGTAACTTCGCGGAACTTCACCGAGATGTTTTTGCGCTTTTGCGTGGTTACGTTGAATTGCGAAATGGAATTACATACCACGTTGTAAAAACAAATACCGATCTATGAATACACGAATTTCAATCATAGAACGACATCATAGGACGAATCGCGATGAAAGAACAGTAACTGATCCGTAAAGTTATGTATAAGTACAGCCCTCCGTTCGTTACGCGTTAAATACAGGTAGGAGTACGAATCGCAGAATGAAATTACATTTCGTGGCGGAAGAATAGCGTGACAGTTCGATCGAAAGTACACGGTTGAAAGGTCACTGCGTTGTTTTCATGTGTCATCTGTTATTCGAGTAACATTTTGCGCTTTTCGAGGGCGAACGACGCGCGAATTGGAGCACGCGAGACAAGCCAGACGACCCTCGAATGGCCACCAATTCCGTCGATTAAATAAGTGCCGGTGCAACGTTCGAGCTGCGTCGCTCGTGCGTGTAGCAGTCCGCGGCTTTTACGTTCCGATTACGTAACACGAACATAAATAATGGATCTCTCGGAATGACGTCGACGGAGTCCCGGAGACGACTAAACGAAACTCGATGCGGTTGATAGTGCGAGCGGCCAGGGGGCGAGCCGGCGACGAGACACGAAGCGGACCGACGATACACGACGGATGGTAATGCAGGGTTGTTCTCTGGTTCGTTCGGTGGTTAAAGCGCTCTATCAAACTCTAACGTACAGAGTCGTCACATTATATGTACAGTGACTCCCAGAAATATTCGGACACTAGTGTATGGTTAGATTTATGGCTTAGTATCGTAGTTATTAAAAAAGCAATCGTCTTCGTTACTTTTTCCAATAATAAATTATTTATTAACATTATGAAAGATATATACATTAATCCAAAAATTTACATAAATTACATAATAACAATAAATAAACGAAAGAATACCGCATTTCGGGTCACAAAAATATTCGGACATTATGAGGAATAAGATTTATTAATTAAAATTAAACATTATATGTTCCACATTAATATTTTGTTGCAAATCCCTTTTGTTTTATAATATGTCTCAATTGATTCGGCATATTATAAATTATTTTTTTTAAATATTCTGTCGAAATGGATGCCCATTCTTCGTGAAGCCTAATTTTAAGTTCTTCTTTGGAACGAATGGTTGTCTTGCGAATCCGTTGGTTCAACTTATCCCATAAGTTTTCTTTAGCGTTAAGGTTTGGTGATTGTGTAGGTGGATGAAGGACTTTGGGGCAATTATACAATAAAAATTCTTAGACAATGCGCGACTTATGTTTAGGATCATTATCCTGGTAAAATTTTAAATCTTCAGCAATCCCCATTTTTTCTGCACTTTGTTTTAAATTGCTTTTTAAAAGATTCAAATAAGCATTCTTATCCATGATGCCATCGATAAAAACTAAATTGCCAACGCCGGAAGTCGAAATGCATCCCCACACCATTACACTGCCTCTTCCGTGTTTTATCGTACCCGATAGATATGTGAACTTGGCACCCGACTTTTCAAAAATTAGTTTTTTTTTATAGAAAACTATAGCATTTCGTTTGTACCTGATTGTACCTCCAATAGTTTCGTTTGTACCTCCACCAATTAATAATTAAAAAAAATTCAAAAAATGGTCAGCACCCGACATTGAGATTTTTGAAATCTGTTTTTTCCCTATTCTTTAGAATCGTTTGTACCGTTTTTCGTTTCGTTTGTACCTCAATAGTTTAAATTTTACAATTAAATTTTAAATTTTACAAAGCAATTGTTGATCCGCGTAAGAATGAAGTTTGTTAATTTTCAAGATATTTAAATTCTGTTTTTTCCCGATTCTTTAGAATCGTTTGTACTCGTCGGAAACGTCTTTCTTTTCGTTTGTACCTCAATAGTTTAAATTTTATAGCAATTGTTGATCCGCGTAAGAATGAAGTTCGTTAATTTTCAACTATTGAGGTACAAACGAAGAGAAAAGCGATTCCTGCGGATACAAACGATTCTAAAGAATCGGGAAAAAACAGATTTTACATATCTTGAAAATTAACGAACTTCACTCTTACGCGGATCAACAATTGCTTGTAAAATTTAAACTATTGAGGTACAAACGAAACGAAAAGCGGTACAAACGGGTACAAACGATTCTAAAGAATCTAGAAAAACCGATTTCAAAAATGTCGACGTCGAGTGATGATCATTTTTTTAATTTTTTCTAATTATTAATTGATGAAGGTACAAACGAAACTATTGGTGGTACAATCAGGTACAAACGAAATACTATCGTTTTCTATAAAAAAAAATTAATTTTTGAAAAGTCGGGTGCCAAGTTCACATAGCTGTACCCGATAATGTGATATTCTTTCGGTTGTTTATTGCTATTATGTAATTTATGTAAATTTTTGGATTAATGTATACATCTTTAATAACATTAATAAATGACTTATTATTGAAAAAAGTAACGAAGACAATTGCTTTTTTAATAAGTACGATATTAAGTCATAAAGCTAACCAAACACTAGTGTCCGAATATTTTTGGGAGTCACTGTATATATTTGAATTTATCTTTTTATTAGATACAAGATTACAGTAATGAATATACCCAATTCCACATTAAAAAGAATTCAATGATCTTGGAATCTCGAAAAATATGACCTTAAGGTCTTTTTTTTCTGTCATAGTATATACCCTTTTGAAACAAACATTTTCCTTTCGCGACACATCGTAATATCATTGAAAGTAATGGAGATATTTAGAAGAACAGTTAGCCCCAGACATTGCAAAGAAGTAAACTTGCTGCTATTTTATCAGGAGACACTAATATGTAAATCTCTTATCCTCTTGGTCCAAACCGCCGATTTCAGAGGTGCGTGGCTATCAAAAAAATGATTTTTCTTTATACGTTTTTTTCTTCCATTGTGACTGCATCTCTGTTTGATATTTTTTTTTAAAGTAATATATTGTCAACGTTAAAATTTTGTTATAGCATGTATGAGAAAGATCATAAAGGTGTAGGGGAACTTTACAATATTTTTAACGTAATAGTTTCGTAGACGACGCGAAAACCTAGATATGGACTGAATTAAAGAATCCTCGTGTGTTTGTTGCCATAATATTTATTGTTTGAACTATTTAGACGATACACAACGTCGACGCGTCGCATTTAAACGAAAACAAAGTCTATGACCGACAAAAAGTGACATTGTGAGCCATAATGCAATTTTTTAATAAGACTTTTAGTTATTACTTTTAGTTATTATATACAGGGTGTCTACAGTTAAGTCCGGACAAACTCAGAGAATTAATTCAACAACTAATTTCCTACAAAAAGTGCCTCATAGACATTTTTCTAAATACCCCTTATTTTAGTAGTATTTTCTTTTTTGAATTTTTTTAACAACTTGTAACATACACTCGCCGTCAAAAAAATAGTGACACTTCTTCAAAACGTCATAAGTATGGGAGTTTTCAGCCGATTTCGGTGAAACTTCGTGAGCAATAGTCTCCAAGTGTCTTCTGGGTGTGTACAAAGTTGCATTGGCGAGGATTGATGTGAAGGGGTTAATTCACCCCCTAAAGAGGAGGGTGTAAAAAAATGCCTCTTTGAAACAAGCCAGGGATGGCGAA